AACAAAAACTCTCAACCCTAAGCCCTGCTGCACAAGGCTTAAAGCAGGTGACATGTCAAATCTACGCCGCCTATCCCGAGACCAGGCAAAGCAGTCAAACCATAACTCCTTTAATCTGCAGGGGCTCGCTGCGAGTTTTACGCGTCGGCTTAGAAGGCATAATCGAATGGGCGCGATGCCCCATGAACTTTAGAGTTCTGGATTCAGAGGAAAACCTTTGCAACGAGATTTCCCGACCCTGTAGACCCTGGCACAGCACCATCAATTGTTTGCTACGCCGCGTGACGCGTGGACTTGGGCGGAATCTCGACGTCCGTAGGCCCACCAAAGCCCTGGGAATCGACTTGTGGTAGCCGGTGTTTCCGAAGCCTAAATCCTGTTTCCCCAAGAAGCCTTTGAAACCCTATACCCTGAGCCACCTGGGCCGTACAAACCCAAAACCCGCATGAACAAGAAGCGTGAGGGTGTCTTCAATGCTTATTACCCCTCCCGCAAGCGAATGTGAAACCCATATAGCCCAGCTAGAGGACACTAGTTTTCACAGGGCCCGCTTTGGGGTTCCATGTTAGTTGCGGGGCTTCAAAAAGCCTATTGTGAGGTGGAGATTTTGCATGACTCTGTACAGCAACTAAATTACTCCACCTGAAAAGAGCCCCTCTGTTTCGGCCTGAAATAGGATGCAGCGCTTAGGAGGGCTTGGGTTCAGGCTTTGGGTGCAGCTCGGAACTAAAGCGTTGGGGCTTCCGCTCAAGAAACGGTATCTCTGAGTCTTGGGATTTGTGCTTTGGGCTGCCGTAGTCCTTTCTTCAAAGTGGGCTCATAGCAGAAACGCCCTGAAATCTCAAGCCGGTTCATTTGATTGAAGCCCCGGTGAGTATTGCAGGACCCCGAAAACTAGGCCATGATTCTGAGGTCCAGGATATGTATTGTGTGGTAGGCCCCCACGCCCGGACGACAAGAATATCGGACTGTTCATACTTTGGCCACACCTACTACAAGTGCCTAAATGATTACGGATACCTTTGAGGTCCAGTTGAGGTACCATATACTATATAATTATACAAGGAATATGGAAACATGATTTTGGTAATTATTTAGGACCCTACATTAGGTCCCCAAGACCCGCCCAAGTTGATAGCGTACACTTTAGCAGACCAAGCCTTCCAGTACTAACTAGTATCACATCACCAAGTCTTATTTTCTATAATCAAACCCCTAAAAAAGAATGCCTTGTGGCGCTCACATTTGAGGGACTGAGCTAAAACCCAAATACGGAAGCCCTAAACCTCGAACCTTGCTGCCTCAGGCGCTTGGCGGCTCTGCTAGTGCTAGCAGCTTCTGGAAGTGACTTCGCCAGTCCTAAGATCTTGGTCAAACATCTCAGCATAACCCCTGTGTAAACGCAACTTCCCATTGCATCTTCCATTTGCCTTTTCATGTGACTGTCCTTTATTAGGCTATATAGTCTGCCTATATGGTCCCCATGCCTGTTCAGACACGGGAGTCAGGCAACGAGGGCCATGAACGCGTCTAAACTCCCATTGGAACGCTGCACCGAGCATCCTTCCCAAGGGGCCCATGTAGTTATATAGTACATACCTGGGCCCTAAAGTAGTTACAGGGGAGCCTCTTTGAGCTTTAAGTATATGCTCCATACCCATATTGACCCTTTGAGCTTCATCAAGGCTTCATCCCCAAATGCAATTCTCCGCGCCCTTTTCTTGATCTATAAAGGGCTCCAAGGGCCAAAAACAAATGGAGTCCATCCCAGTCCTCCGAAATCAAACCTACACCTGTTTGCAGGGTCACGGGGGACATACTTACTAAGTCCCCTTGACCCTCTAAGTAGTATAACCGAAGCCTCTGCTACTGAAACTTTGGGCGCTTCGACCCGTTAGTTCCAATGGCCTTACCGGCGTTTGCGGCCCTCCGCCTGGAATCCTTTTGCCTCGCCGAAGCGCACTTTCCTAGCTGAGCTTGTACGGGCCAAAAACGGTTAACCTTGTAAATGGTACCCGGTCTGTGTATATATTCCATAAGAGCCCAGTAGTTGAGCAGATGACCACTCGACACATCATTGCAATGAGCAGAGAGAAAGAGGTTAAAGGTTATCCCATACGGTTACCTAACGCCGAAAGCATGTAGAGAAACAGTCTGTTTAGGCTGCTTTAAACCGTTTGAGGCCACTATTTGACTTACATTCGGGCTGGGGGTTCCTAAGCCCTACACCCTAAACCTTAACCCTAAATCCTGAACCCTACGCCCTAAATCCATATGGTCATCCGCTCAGCTACTGAGCTTTTCTTGCTTGCAGGCCGGGCATCTCTTCCGGTCTCTGCGGCTTTGAGGATTGTTTTGAAAACCTGTAAAGTCTCAGGTTTAGGGGTTTAGGGTTTTAGTGGCTTTTAAGGTTCAGAGTTGTGGGACCCTGGGGTACTAACGGTTTAGGGGGCCTACTTATCAAGGGTCACACTCATGACGTTATAGTGGGGTTACTAATGCTTATTAAGGGGTTACAGTACACAACCTGACTGCAGGCCCCCCCCCCCGTTTTGTGCAAAACGGAGGCACCTCTAAAGGCTTCATGTATATAGGATCTAGCTAAAGGATTGAGGAACCTTTCAAGATTTGATAAGCGACATTTTGAGAAACTTCCATAGGAACCAAGTGGCTGACACCCTAAGCCAACCCTAAAGCGTTGGAGGAAAGGGTGGGCTGGATCCATTCAGTACACAGCACTGACACCCCCCAAAACGACACTCTGTGTAAGGATTTAGGGATTGAGGGTCTCGGGCTTCGATTAAGTGTTTAATGGTTTAGGGATGACTTCGATCGCCACCTCTACCCCTACGGTTTATGTCAGTATGCCCCAAACTAGCGCGAAGCTGGACATGGTGTCCTGTTGCAGACCGTCTGGGGGCATTACTGTCTGTGCCTCCATATTTGAGCCATAATCTAAACTCCTGGAAACCCCCTTGATAAACCCCATAGTAGTCCACCATATACCCCTCCGTTAAGGAGTTTAGACTGTAGGAATGTTAAACATAGGAGGGTCAATATCAAGGGAGGTCATCAGGAGCTTTGCGTATAAAACTTGGGCTACATACTGTACTGGGTTGGAGGTTATTGGCGGTGAGGGTGCGCGGCCCTAAACCCTACACCCTGAACCCTCTCTCCCAAACGCTGGCTAAGCCCTAAACCCTAAATCCTAAACCCTGAGCCCGGGGTCCAATTTCAACCCCACCCTACTGCAAACTAAGGTGGATTCCCTTGAAGCCCCCTAGCCTGAGGACTTCAGTCTTCATGGGGTCCCCTTTGCGGTCAAAGGCCAACAAGTTGGAAATATACATTCTTACTTTTCACTGCTTCTGATTCTTTCTCTTGAAGCAAAGGGGCTCTTACTGGAAGCTGACTTGCTGGGACTGCTTCACAGCTCCGTCAATGACCCCAAATACCCAATCCTGGAACCTTTCAACCTCTCAGAGGGTCTCTGGGGCTCTTTTCTGGTTCCTGATTGAGATGGTATTGAAGCTTCTCATCTCAACCTCTTTTCTGGCTCTTGATACAATTAGCACGTACTTCTGAGAAACTCCTATGTTAATCCTCAGGCTTATTGTCCCCCTAAGTAGATAGAATATGGGGTATATGGGGATCTTATTTTAGTATACCCAAAGCCATATTCTATCTACTTCAGGGGGACTATAACCCGAAACCCTCAACTCTAAATAGTAAATATTAGTCTCCATTTTCTTTTCCATTATCCCAATACAACCCCTAAAACCCTAAAACCTAAATTTAAGCCTACTTAAGGGGGGACTATAGCCAAACCCTAAACCCTATACCCTAAACCCTAAACTCATGGCCATGCCCCTTCGTTCTAGGGTAGATCCTGGATTTTGGGGGGGGTCTGGCGGTCCAGGCCCCCCCTGCAGAGCGAATTTCGGGACCCGGGGCCCTGAGAGCCAGGAGGCAAGGGTCAGCACCTCCAAATTTCTCAACCCAAAACACCAAAACAAAAAAGCGGGACCGCCGCAGGAGGGCCTCCCAAGAAGGATGGTCTCTTTGGCAAGGGCACCTACTGGGAGATGCTGCCAAGATCGATCAATACCTGAAG